CTCTTCTCTCTCCCGTCTGAGGTGAACTCTTCTCTCTGCCTTCCGAGGCTGAACTGATTTCTGTCGATTGGGGTTCTGCTTTTATTGACGCCGCAACAAACTGGGGTGGGTCTGTCGGCGTCAGGGTTTCTTGATAATTCAAAAGTCGCATTAGTTCTGATTTCCCATTATCGCTCTTATTTTCACCCTTACTTCCTCACAGTGCCTCTGGGGGGAGGCGCATACCCATCTCTCCCGGTCTCTCGTATGTCAGGTGACCGTTTTCGACCAATGGGTCCTGGTCGAGCGTCCTTTCTCCTCTTTCTCGCATATCACGTGACCGCTTTCGGCTAATGAGATTCTGGTTGGGCGTCTCCCGTCCTTCGTGACGTCTCCAATCGGGCGTGGTCTATCCCGGGCTTTGTTCTGGGAAAGAACACCTTGCTAAAAAAAACAAAATCCAATTTGGCCTTTTTTTCGCGCACGCACGAAAATGACAATCACGGCCTTTCTCACCTTTTGGTTTTTGTCAAAACAGCCCGCCGCTAATTAGATGTGACTTCAGGAAGAATTTTTTTTCGTCTTGCTGGCGCTTTCTGTGAGCCAAAACAATTGTTTTCATTCCTTTATTTTCGTTCAGGCCTGATAGTCAAAAAATCTTAATTATCTGAATTGAAAATATCTTCACTTCATCATCGTGGGGTTCTAATCTTCAACAGGTCAGGATCTGTATACAATTCCAGCGGTCACCTTCTCATTCCAAAAGACACCCCTTTCCCCGATTAATATTTCTTTTTCCATTGTTCTAAAAATCCCATTTCTCCAAATTGATAATGAGTCCCACACTCCGTGGACACAAAAAAGGCCAGATGTTTTGACCGATATTTTTTATCAATCGTACGTATGTTCATCCACTTTTACCATGTCTGTTTTTCTTTTTATTTCTTTTAATTACCTCTAATCATATTCTTTCAAATAACAATTTCTATTGTTCGAAATTCGGTCAGGCGCGTTGGCCTAGATATCTCTTGACACCTGTTTTCGCTTATGAACAGCTTTTGCATTACCCATCTCTCCCTCTCTTTTCCTTTCTTTTCCTCTTTCTTTTTCTCTTCTTCTTCCCTTAGGGTCGCCTAAATGAATTAGAGAATTATTCTCAAAACTCAATTATTCTTCGTCTAAATAACTAACAACTGGTTAATAAACCGAATAAAAATTAAATCATATTTCTATGAATATTTCTTTTTAGTTTTTCTAATAATGCAGGGTGCCACACTAACACAAAAACAGTGAATGTTTCATATCGAGAATATGATCGAGATTGGTCGTTTTCTTTCCATTGCTAAGTAAGTCAGAACTTTCTGGCCGACTTAGTATTAAGGAAAAGATAATGGTCCATAGACATTGGACAAATAACTATAGTATACATATTAAACAACGTTCTATCATTCTTTATTAATAAAGAAATGTGAAGTGTTTCGAAGTTCGGCAAGAGAATCGTTAGTTAGCACAGGAAACAGAAGACTGTAGTGGGCTGATTGGAGTAATTTATAATGTTACTAAATATTAGAAACGACAATAATTTGCATTGCGCGTACAAGATGCAAAAGCCCCAATGATGATTATTGCATATTAAATATTAAGAAAGAAAAAAAGAATATAAGCGAGACGGGACAATATTTTTTAAATGAGTCTTACTTTTTTTGCAAATCCAATTATCATATGAGATAGATATACATAATGAAGAGAATGAGATAGATTCAAATGCATTTATAATGGATATCGCTGGGATAGATGTCCAAATATATAGATAGATAGATGATGAAGAGAATGAGATAGATAGATAGATAGATAAATAAATAAATAAATAAACAAATGAACACACTGAGATAGATAGATAGACGGCTATATAGATAGATAGATAGATAATGAAGAGAATGGGATAGATAGATAGATAGATAGATAGATAGATAGATAGATAGATAGATATGAAAAATGTAGCCATATAGATAATTAGAGAGAGAGAGAGACAGAGAGTGAGAGAGAAAGTAAAAGAGAGGCAGTGCCTATGAATAAGAAGTGCTTCTCAATTTGTCTTAATTATTAGGGGATGCAGACACCGTTGTCAATTTTTGTCGTCATGAACATTAAAACGGCTTCTCTGCTTGATCTCTTATTCAACATGGGACATCGTTTGTCAAGCCTGGTTAGCAGGAAGCTATATCTCCGGTCTTAATTGGACGGGTAACCCTGGCACGGAAAATCTATTTCTTAATAAAATCATACACACCTTAGGAAAGATAAAAGAAACACAGTAAGTGAAGTTTTCTACACATTAAAGATCTTGGGAAGCGATTGGGGTAATGGTAATATTGATAATAGTAATAAAAGCCATTTCCTTATTAGGAAACTTTCGTCAGTCATTGACCAAGAAGCCAGTGCTATTTAAGTTACGCTTTTTGTCATTCCTTGGTCATTGTGTAAAGAGCAAAGTGTAGTATCTGCTCTCCTAATCTCTAATTCTAATGGTAATCTTAATCGCCTCCTTATGTGGAAACATCATTCATAGACCGAACAATCTGTGCAAGTGTTGGTGTAAATCTATAAGATGTTTCTATTAAAATAATGTTTTAGCATGTTAGATTACCCAAGAGCACGTTTATCACTACTTCCGGTATTAATATCATTTTCCTTCTTAACTTTTTTGTTCGAAGTGGTGTGGAATGTCAGCATCATGATTATCTCATTATTTTCTCCTCGTCTTATATGAGTTATCCATTTTAGTTGTTGCTTTTGTCGAATGTCCTCAATTGATGTGTTTCTGTAAACTGGTACAGTTCTTCTGTAGTCCACGAGGTTCGATAAAGGACAGTCTTTCACAAGTCCTACTGTCTTCATGCCTTCGAAGTCACTTTTAATTAATTGATCTGAGAAATCGGTTGCATACCCCTGATTTGTGAACGGGTTTGGTGCCATATATGATATCTGTCTGAAAGACTCGATCAGGCTATTTAAAAATTTGACTAGAGTTCTGAGGTGAATGTTTTGATTTCATAGCGAAACAAAACCTAGCGAAAGGTTCTCATTGTTTTCTTTGGTTTGTTTAGCGGCACATTAACTAGTTATGGGTGTTATTATTTACATTATTCGGACTATTGTCCCCATCTTTGTCGCCATATTTATTACAACATTTCGGCCGTTGTACGCTTCGGCCATCTATGGGTCGATATTCCTGCCAGTTTCTGGTCGGACTTTTCAATTTGTATCCATATTTTTGGTATATCGCGTCCGTACCGATCCTTCACCTATCTGATAATTTTTTCATCTTGAATGATGTATTATTTTACATATTTACATTATTCGGATTATTGTCCTCATCTTTTTTTTAATATATTTATTACAATGTTTCGGCCCTTCAGTATCTGTCTATATTTCGGAACATAAATTATTATGGTACACTATTTAAATTATTCGAACTAAAATCCTCATCTTTGTCGCCATATATATTGACAACGTTTAGGCCTTTCAGTATCTGTCTATATTTCTGAGATGTGGTTTGATGTACACTATTTTTTACATTATTCGGACTATTGTCCTCATTTTGTCGCCATATTTATTACAACGTTTTTGCCTTTCAGTATCTGTCTATATTTCTCAGATGAGGTATTATGTACATTATTTACATTATTCGGTCTACTGTCCTCATCTTTGTCGCCATATTTATTACAACGTTTCACTGAGCGAAGCATCTGTCTATATTTCTGAGATGAGGTATTACATACACTATTTACATTATTCGGTCTACTGTCCTCATCTTTGTCGCCATATATATGAGAACAGAGTTGAGCAGCGGAGACACCGGACCATATATAGACTTGAAGTATGGACCCCAGACGAGAAAAAAAATCTTCTGGCACGATGCAGAGAACCAACTTTCCTTGCAATAGATGCAGCTGTTGATTCAATGTATTTGTTTTACCTCAGGACAGTGGAAAACGTGAGTCCAAGTCCAATAAAAATCTATTTTTATACTTACATAGAGTTTCGACCCTAGTTTGGGGGTTAAGTATTTAAGCATAGCTCTTTCGACCCCTTTATATTCAACCCAGAATATTAATTTATTTATAAAAAAGAATATAACCTATAAATCAGCTTTCATAAGTTTCTCATATATTTTATATTCTTTCGTCTTTGGTAATAAATAGATAGATCTAAGATAATAGAATAGAACAATAGATATTCAAAAATCTATAAAATTTCCTATAGATAGATAAATAGATAGATAATTCTAAATAATTTTCTAGAAATCCTTGATAGATGATTCATAATCAATGAAAGAATGGAGCAACAAATTCGTTTTTCAAAAGAAAACAAGAATCGCTGCAAAGAAGAAAAAAGCAATCCTTTTAATTGACCATGATGCTTATAGTAAGCATATATTAAATTCAGTTCAGGTATCCAACAATTAAATATCTCTTTTAAAATAACAGTCGCCATGGAATTATTTAATCCAATGGCAGAGGGATATAGTTACGTCTGTTTGAAAGTGATTTAGATTCGTGATGATAGGTCAGCGCATATCAATTGCATATCCGTCTTTTGGATTTTGTCGAGAACCTCGTGATGAACTTATATTCACCAAAATGTATATGGCAACAGTATTCCATGCATGGAAATGGTATGTTGTTTATGTGAAGGATGGACTCAGACGAAAAAAACATCTGGCGCGACGCAGAGGATCAAAATTTGAAAAATTCCTTAAAGTAGATGCAGCTATTGAATTCAATGTAGTTATTCCATTCTCAGGACAGTGGAAAAAAATATCCAAGTCCAATAAAAATATATTTTATATCTTACCAACGTCAGTTTCGACCCTATTTTGGGGTCTCAATAATTTACACATAGCTCGATTATGAATTAACTTGTTGCCACACAAATATTAATATTTTAAGAAAAAAATTTTTATATAAGTCAGACAGGACAGCTTTCAAGTAAAATTTTCAGGACTTTTGGATAAAATTTTATAAATTTATAGATAATAGATAGATAATGTATGGACAGAAAAATTTAAATAGATAGATAGATAGATAGATAGATAGATAGATAGATAGATAGATAGATAGATATGGACAGAAGGGAATAGATAGATAAATAGATAGATAGATAGATAATGAAAAGAATGGGATAGATAGATAGATAGATAGATAGATAATGAAAAGAATGGAAAGAAAGAAAGAAAGAAAGAAAGAAAGAAAGAAAGAAAGAAAGAAAGGGTTTGACCATGATGCTAGCCTAGTAGCACGCTTAAATTCATGCAGGTGAGGCAACAGTGAAAATATCTCTTTAACGCAGTTGCCATGGAATTATTTAGAGAAAAGGCAGAGGGAAGCCACATTACGTTTGTGAGAAAGTGATTAGATTCGTGATGATAGGTCAGCGCATATCACATTGCATATCCGTCTTTGGATTTTGTCGAGAACCTCGTGATGAACAGCAGGGGCACCAAACCATATATGGCAACAGTATTCCATGCATGGACGAATGGTAGATTTGTAGATGTGAAGGATGGACTCAGACGAGAAAAAACATCTGGCGCGACGCAGAGGATCAGCTTTCCTTGCAGTAGATGAAGCTATTGATTCAATGTAGCTGTTCCACCTCAGGTCAGTGGAAAAAGTGAGACCAAGTCCAATAAAAATCTATTTTTATACTTTCACAGAGTTTTGACCCCAAATTTAGGTTAAATTTAATCTGATAATACAATTTAACCCGGATATTCCAAGCCGGATATAATTAAACCCGATATAAGAGACTTCTTCTCCGGTCCCGACAACTTTTATATATCGGTTTACACTGTATTAAAAAAAAATAATTCAACATCGTTTGGTTAATACAGTGTAACCCGGATGTAAAGAGCCGGATATAAGAGAAAACCGGATATAAGAGAGATTTTCTCTGGTCCCAAATTAGAGCCTGTGTTAATGTATATAAAATAGATAAAACCCGGATATAAGAGAAACCCGGATATAAGAGACTTCTTCTCCGGTCCCGACAACTCTCTTATATCCGGGTTACACTGTATCAACATCGATATTATTCGTTTTTTATAGCTCTTAGTGAAATCTTTATTAATGAGGTTGTTGTATTAATATGATAATATATATATATATATATATATATATATATATATATATATATATATATTTTTTATTGTGACTGTATGGAAGTTTGTACAATTTTCTAAAATCACGTCTGTTTTTTAGTGAAAGACATTAATTTGGAAATTCTTGCAAAGATTCCATGCATGGACGAATGGTAGAAATGAACCTTATAGAACTTATTCACAAATGAATGAAATTATTTGACAAATATTTCTTTTTAGAAAGTCTTGGTAAAACTATTTTTTTTTACATCTGTTACCCGCACCTGCTTAATTTTTTGAAAACTCGAGAAATTCAACGTTGTAAATTTTATTGATTATATTAGTTACAATTTTGAAAGAATATAGATCATCAATTTTTGGTGGGTAAAATCAAACGGACAGTTACCGAAAATCAGCACTGAACTGTAAAATACAAAACTCCATGTAACTAAGATATTATTGAATTAGAAAAGATTTTAATTGATTTTATGAATAAATAAACGTTAAGGATTATATTGTCTGAAATAAAGAAAAAATTTCGATGAAAATTAAATTTTTAGAAGAATTGTTTTATTTTTACAATTTTAATGACAACAATTTTTAAAGTTGTTTAATCTTTTGAAATTCAGTTTCAGTCTTGTAAATTTTAAGAAATATTTTTATTAAGTGTTGTGATGTCCTCTCTCTAATGAGTCTAGATTCTTCCACTTACTATAAAATTAGTAGGAAAGTAAGCCTCGGGGAACAGTAGTAGTAGTACAGATTGTTCAACTGTCGAACTCTCTGTCTTTGGTAGAGAGGAACCCGGACAAGGTTTTGCCGAAGGACGAAATTTTCTTTCGCGGAGGTAGACAGGCACTGAACATGCTTAATACAAGTTCTAAGGGAATATTTTGGCAGGGGGGGGGGTGTTAAATATAATAGTAGTATAGACTGAACGCTGGTCAACCGACACACACTCCCAATTCGTGTAACTCACTAATGTTGTATTTACTGTTCAATACGCTATTTATCTGCAACCTCTTGTTTTTTTTTTTATTTCTTAAACATTTACTTAGTTAAAAAATTAAGTAAAACTATTTTTCCTCATAACAAAACGACAAGCTTATTACAATCTACAAACAACCAGTATTTTAAAAAAAGAATTTTACATTGTTTCTGGATGTGTATAAACATATTATTTTTTATATATTTGTTTTGTTGCATAATTATCGGGCGTTTTTTAAACAATATTTGTTATGAAGAAAGAAACATAACAATTCAGCAATAACATTTTGAAATGATTTTTCCGGAGCGTCTGAGTATCGACACGTATTTTTATAACCTGAAAATAAAATAATATTTTTATAAAAAAATGTAAACAAAATAGCAATTTTTATTAACAAATAACTCGCCTAAAAAACGCCTGATATTTATGCCCAAACCAATATATGTACGGATGTTCATATATGACATTATCATTAAAAATTAGGTGTTATCAGAGTTTTTTTAAAACTTGCTGAGATAATATAAAAATTAATAATAAATGAAACTTCATAAGAGACGTACGTAAAAATTATAGGTATCTCTCTTATTTATTACAGTTTATGTTATATTAATTTTATATTATCTTAGTTATTAAATTTTAAATTTATTTTATTTCTATTTAATATTTTAAATCTTATTATTTTATCCAAAAAGGATTTTCAAACATAAAACTATAAAGATAAAGTACCTAATAGTTAATAAAATATTAGCTTAAAGTATTTGTTCATTTGTAAAAATTACTTGGTAGTTAAATAAGTTCATTTAAAATTCGTAAAATTTGTACCAGTAAATCCATCCGATGATATTTTATTGATCTCTATTTACCAGTAAAAATTCAATCAAACCATATTTTAAAACGAATGCAAAAAATGCAAAAACTGATTTTACTGTGGTGTTTATAACTCATTTTCAATAGCATTTTCGGATACAACAATACATATATTTTCGTTGTCCTCTTATTACTAAGAGAAAAAAACAAGAACAACATCTATTCTATACCTGAAGATGTCTGTAGGAACAGACGAAAGCTTGTAGTAAAAATAAGAACTAATACGGCAGAAATTTATATAAACAAGGATCATTTCATTCATAACGGATTCGGAGGTTTTTTGTATATTATTTGAATTGTTTGCGATGATGGATTTCTCGCCAATTAAATCATTAACCTTTGCATTTGTTTTTGTGTGAATAATTCATGAATTTGTAAATTGATTGCAATATATATATATATATATATATATATATATATATATATATATATATATATATATATATACATATATATAAAGTTATATATATATTTTATATACAAATATATTTTATATATATATATATAATTTTTCGTTCATATATATACATTATATATATATTATTTTTTAAAAAAAATTTTTTTTAAAAAATATATATTGTGTGTATATCATATAAAAAAATGGTTATATCCATTATGGCTCAATTTGAGGATATCTGTTTTCCATATATTTAACCGGATTTGTCTTTTAAGAGAAAAAATAAGAAAAAATTTTTTTCTTCTCTTCTTCTTTATCTATAAAGTAATTCTTGAAAGACTGTAAAAAAATAAGAAAAAATTCAGAATTCAATTGGTTTTCAATTCATTGGCTCTTCGGAAGAGGATTAAATTGTTATTATTTTTTTGTTTATAAATATGATATGATTTTCATAGAAATATTAACATTTTTATTTGTTTTTGTGTGAAAAAAATTCCATTAATATATATATATATATATATTTCATATATATATATTATATCTGCATTATATATACAATAAAATAAAAAAATATAAAAACAGTTTTTCCTGTCATTAAAAATTGTCTACTATTTTCCAAAAATCTTTTGTGTTTGTTTTTTGAAACACCTTGATGTTTATATATATTTGCAATATTAACGAGATACCTGGATAAAGTTCTATATGTATATATATATATATATATATGTGATATATATATATATATAAATTTTTTTTATTTTAAACAATGAGACCATCCATAAAGACATTATAGGAATAGAAAATATCTTCTGGAGATATAGTTGAAGTTAAAATTATTTTATTGAATAAGATTATATTAAATAATTATAAATTTGTTTTTTTGATATTTAAAAAAATATAACTGAAAATTTCAAATGTCAATATTTTTTTCATTCCTTTAATAAATGATAAGTTATCAATCGCAATGATTATTACAAACAATAATAACACAATAATATTTTTTAAACACACAAAAAATTATTTATATATATTTTATATTTATATATATATATATATATATATATATATATATTTTTAATGTTTTGATTTGACCTTTTAAAAATTTATATTTTATTTTATTTGATGGATTTTTTCAAAAAAACTTTCCATTTGTTTATAATTTTTCACCTCCTTTTTTCAACGTTATTTATCACAAACCAAACCTTTTTATTTTAAACAATAAACATATTTTGTTTAAGATTTTACCACCAATCCCAAATTAAATATAAATATATATATATATATATATATATATATATATATATATATATATATATATATTATATATATATTTTTCATTATAAGAAACATTTTAAGGCAAATTAGAAAATAATATATACCTTTTTAATATAAAATTTTTATATTGTTTGATTTAAAAAAAATTTTTTTTATTTGGCAAAAAAAAATCTAAAAAAAATATAAAAAATTATTATTGAAAAATAATTATTTTATTTTATATTTGGCCATTTTCTTGAATTATTTGAAAAAAAATTATTTATATCTTTTTGTCGAATTAAACCCAAATAATAAAGAAGTAAAAATAATTTTTTAAAGGTCACATATCGTGAATATATTTACCAATCCATTGACTGGTTTTTTTGACAACTCAAAAAAATTTGTGATCAAATTTTTAAATTTTTATTAACATTGAAAAATCTAGATTAACAAAAAAAAATGAAAATAGTGGCGTAACGGGTTTAGTTTGTTATATATTTTATTAATATTTTCATATATTTTTAAATATATATATATAAACATGATCAAAATGTCAACTAATTCTATTGATCAATTCAGTAAAAAGAATGTGAAAAAAAAATATATATGAAAAACTAGAAAAAATTCAGAGAATTAAAAATAAA